CATGCAACCCTCCTGCAGCGCGGCCGGAGGCGGCCCCTTTGTGAACGTGAGCAACCTGGGCGGCTTCGGCGGCGGCGGCGGAGCGCAGCCGCTGCACCAGGGCGCCCCGGCGGGACCCGCGTGCGCACAGGGCACCCTGCAGGGCATCCGGGCCTGGTAGGATCGGGCGGGTCACGCGGCGGGCGCTCCCCACCGCAGCCTGGTGCCATGGGACTGAAGCTCGAGAAAGGCCGGACCCGCCGAGGGCCAGGCCCCTCGTTAAAGAACAAACTACCCAAATCTGGCTCCTCGAGGCTCCGCAGCACAGCTCGCTCGAGGCCTGGGGAAGTGGACTCGGGGAGCGAAGAAGATGCTGAGGTTCGGCGCCGGCACTGTCTCTGAGGCACGCACGCCGGCTGGGTGCAGGGAAGAACGGGGGCCCCATCACCGGGAGCGAGAAGAACTTGTCTCTCTAGACTTCCCCGCAGCTTCCGCGAAGCGTTGGCGAGGAAACCGTGGACAAGAAAACAGGAAGGAGAGAGAAATGGGGGGTCGTGGCCTGAGAAGTCTCCAAGTCCCGACGATTCTCTGCGTCCTTTGCGGGGCCCGGAGCGCTACACCACATCGTTGATCGGTTCCCAGCCGCCGCCTCGCCGCAGCAGATACCTCGGCCGGGTTCCCTGGTTGTCTGGGGCGTAGAACTCGGGAGGGCAAGATCGGAAGCGGAAGACCAGCGGAAAGAGATCAGAAATTGCGGCCTGAACAAATCCAGGACCTGGTGGCCCGCCGGAGGTGTTACAGGGTTTCCTTTCTGTTTCGTATTCTGTATTCTGCACATATTATATATTAAAAAAAAAAAAACTATACCCACACGCCGTGTACACACGCATTGCCATACACTACAGGAGTCAATAAAGGAGGTGCAATATTTCCAAACCTTTAGCTGGCTACAGAGACTTTGTTTAGCCAAAAGAGAAGTGCTTACGAAGAGCGGAAAAGGAAGGCAGAGATGCAGAGGGAAAGCGGTCCTTCCTGGGCGAGCGGAGACGCGAGCTCCCCTGCGCAGGCCCCAGGCTGCAAGTCTGGTCTTTCCCCATCGCCTTGTTTATTGATTTCTCTTTCATCCTGCGGGAAGGACAAGTCGGAGTCTCAGGTCTTTTGGAGGCCTAGGCTTTGTAATCTTCCCAGTTTATTCCCCCCGAAATGCGTGGGCTAGTGTCTGGGCCTGCGTTAGGTGAAAGTTTAGTCTGCCCCACCTCGACAGTCTCCAGGACCCAGGAAACTTCGTCCGCAGGCTCTACGGCCCGGGCGGTGCAAAGGCGGCTCTGCCCTCGGCAGCCGCCGGGGCTCATCACGCGCCCGGGGACGCTGCGCTGCGCCCCGCCGCGGCCGCGCTCTCCCCCTGGCCTCCCTCCCTTCTCCCCCGGCGGCCGCGGCTTTATGTGGCTCCTTGTCACTTGCGGAGAATGCCTGTGCGAGGCCTGTGCTGCCACACGGCCGATTGTGAGCGTGCCAAGGCGGGTGAATGGGGAGGCCTCTGAGCGCCGCGCCATTGTGGGGCCGGGCCTGGCTGAAAGGCGGCTCCGGGCCGGGAAGGTGCGGAAAGAATGGCTTTTTATTGGAGTCCCGAACAAAAGGTGTGGTAGGAAGGCGAGGTCCCCTGCGCGAACAAAAACCCCAGCGCGTCGGGATTGACGTCCCCCCCGAGCTCCCCATTGCTTCTCAGAGCGGGGGCTTTGTACAGCAGTCTGCTCCACAGAGGGACGGAGAAATGCGCGGGGGTTTTGTTCCCTACTTTTTTGTGTGCTGGGGGAGGGGGCGGCCCGGGGGACGGGGGCTGGGCGGGCAGCAGGGAAGGGCGCGCTGATTAGGCCGGGCGGGCCTCGGCGCGGAGACGTTCAGCGGGAGTCGGAGGCCTGAATGCAGGGTCATTATTGCTACAAGTTTAGCAATCTTGCCCTTACAGGAGGGGGCGGGGGCTGCGGGGCTGTGGCGGGGCCGCCAGGCTGGGGAGCTGGAAAGACGAGGAGGAGGAGGGAGGAAAAAGAGGAGGGAGGGCAGGGGAGGCAGGCAGGCAGGCAGGCCGGCCAGGAAGCCCTCCGAAGCCCGCTGACCGCCCAGGATGAGGTTTGGACGCGTCTGAAAGAACCTAGCAGGATCTGGAGAGGCGGCGCCTGTGGGGCGAAGATCCTGGCTCCGTTTGTCTCTCCCGCGGCTGGAAGACTCCGAACGTGACTTATGCACCAGGGTACCCGGCCCTCAGCTCCTAGCCTCTAGCTCCGGCTTCTCTCAACCCACCCTCCAGCTGAGATTTCACTACTACCACCACCATTGCGCTCCAAGGCCCCTTACTAGCAGGCTCCTTCCCTTGGAACCACTGTGTTCCTGCGGGTTGCTTACGCTAAGAGCTAGGGAGGGAATTCTCGCTTCCTTGCACATTCCCACAAGCTTGCAGCCGCAAAGAACTCATTCATTCATTCAACAATAATTACTGAGCAAACCAAAACCAAACCCACTGCCATTGAGTCAATTCCGACTCACAGCGACCCTTTCTAGGACAGAGTAGGACTGCCCCATAGGGTTTCTAAGGCCGTAAATCTTTACGGAAGTACACTGCCTCATCTTTCTCCCACAGAGCGGCTGGTGGGTTCAACCCACCAAACCTATTGGTTAGCAGTCAAATGCTTTAACCACCATGCCACCACAGCTCCCTAATTACTGAGCAGTTTTTATATCTTTATTTGTACTGTTCTGGATGTTGGGGACGGTGGTGGTAGGGGAAACCAACTATCTGAGGTTCATGAAGCTTGTTTTGAAGTGTGTATGTGTGTGTGTTGGGGGATAGACAACAAACAAATAAATATTGAAATATTAGATGAATTAAATAAAAGAAAGAGAATGAGGGCTGGGGGCAAGTATCCCTTTGGCGTGGGTGGTCAGGAAAGGCCACACTGAGATTACGTTTCTGCCAATACCTGAAGGAGAAAAAGTCCAAACACTTGCTGTTTCCAGCCTCCCCGCTTCTGGACATGCCGTCCCATGCTGTGGAATGCCCTTCCACCCTCAGTTTTCTGATGAACTCTTACCCCTCCTTCAAGGCCAAGCTTCTTTCCTGAGCCACCCAAGTGGAGGTAAGCACTCCCTTCTCTGTGCACAAGAGTCTTAGGTACTTTCCACCAGCACAATGTGGTCTTGTGGAAAGATTTGTTTTCTTTCCCTCCATATGAAGTCCTGGAGGGCCAGGTCAGCGTTTTTTTCTCTTGAGACAGGTACTTCATGGGGGCAGGGGAGGGAAATATTTTCTCCTCAGGCCACCTTTCTTGGTGCTCCAGGGCCGCAGGACAGTGCCCGATGTGGCCTTAGGGAGTTGACCTAAGCGAGATTGCAGAGCCAGACTTTTGGCTGAGTTAGGCCACGGTCCGGACCTCTGGAATCACCTGCCAGAGTTGTACAACCCACCCTGACCCCAAATGAAAGCCTCGTGTTCCTACCCCGTGATGTAGTAGTCTAAGGACATGGCTTCCTCCTCTCCTGGGGACATCTCCTCACCCTACGGCTCAAAAGCTGGGAAAGGAGGCTGAGAACTGGACGAAGACCTTGACAGCAAGACACAAGATTTGTAGATTGGGAGGACGTGAGGTAGGGGAGAGCTTAAGGGTGGACTGTGTGGAGATGGGAAGCTGGAGTGTATGAGATAAGTTAATGAAAGACCTGCATCTAGGACCCACTTCAACTTCCCATACATAGACTAGGTGCGGAGAACGGCAGGGCAACACGGCCTGGGCCCCGCAGGGCTTCCCAAGCGGGATTTCCATGCGGCATGCTGGGAGCCAGGAGCTGGAGCAACCGCTTGCACATCTCTCGGGTTTCCTAGTGAAGCCATTCCTTTGACTCTAACCCAGTGAGTATCGTGCTGGGCCGTGGCCTCCCGGTGCTCCCAACGTCTGTTCCCCACCTCCCTTGGCCAGTTTCCTCCTAGCTGGCCTCCAGTTAGTCTTCCTTCTTTGTGCATCCCCTTCTGTTCTGGAACAGAGACGTGTGACCCCCAGAGGAAACAGAGCCAGCTCTCAGGATTGACTTCCGCATGGTTTGCGTGTCTTGAGGTGCTTAAAGCCAGACTAGACCAGCCCCTTCCCTGTTCCCTACCCTTCCCTGGGGCTTGTAGTCTTTCATATAAATAGCTCTCACCACTTGCTGAAGGATTTCCGTAGTGGTACCCCTGCCCCAGGCCCAAAGCTTCATTGGATTGTCCTGTGAGCCAAGAGGAATCGTAAAATTCAGACAGACACACTAACGAATGACCTAAGAGGCTGGACTCTGGTGTCAGGCTGCCTTTACCACCAACAAAAGAAAACTTGAGTAAGTTGGAAGCGCTCTGAACCTCAGTTTTCCTCCTCTATGAAATGGGTATGCTTATAGTGTACAAATACCGAGTGTACACCCCAGTGGATTTTCATACGTTGATTTATGTAACAACCACTGTGGCTTTGAGAATTGAACGAGACAAAGAAAAGCAGCTTAGCACATCAATGTTAAAGGCCAGGCGGGTGTTAGGTGCTGAGTATATTGAGGAGCCAGAACTTTATCTTCCCCTTGAAGCACTCTTAGGCCCCCAGAGAGATCAGAGGGTTGGAACCCCAGCACAGCCCAGCCTAAGTCATCATCCAGACCTGGCTGGAGCCATTGGTGGCAAGCTCCCAGCAGGGGGTGCTCAGAGGGACTTGCAGACTTCGGAAGTCTTCCTGGAGCCTCTGACCATGGCTGGGTCTTGGGAGTTGCACTGAAGGGAAAGGTGAAAGCACGTTCTAGGCGGAGTCCTAGGCCCGCGTAGACCACCACTGCTGATCCG